ATTTCATGGGCACATTGGCAAAGAGCCTGGGGCAGAAATAAAAATATATCCTCTTCTGAAGTACAATCTGGAGACCAGGCTCTCTGGGAAAGTCTTCACTGAGTAAGCGATCCCTAAATTGCAGAATGTAGGCTGCCTGTGAACACATCTCCCTGACTGGTTAGGGCCCAGGGAAGGGGATGGGCAAGTAAATCCGTTAGGTTGGGATTGCACAGTGGAGAAGGTATGTGCAGGGCCCAGAGGGGACTGTGACAGCCTAGAGCAGCCCTTCAGGGGGGCTGATGCAGGAGCCAGGAGGAGGACGACGTGGACTTTTCCAAGTGGAGGCAAAGCAGAGGCAACAATCTGTAAGGTGTTTAAAAAACCCCAAGTAGAGGGAAGGATGGTGGTGAGGGTGGGAATTGAGGCAGGAAGAGCTAGGGCCAGAGGCCGGGGGTCTTTTTGCTCTAAGGCAGCGGTTCTCAACCTGTGGGTCGCGACCCCTTTGGGGGTCAGATGACCCTTTCACGGGGGTCGCCTAAGACCATCGGAAAACACACAATTACATATTGTTTTTGTGAGTAATCACTATGCTTTATGTTCAATTTGTAACAATGAAAATACATCCTGCATATCAGATATTTACATTACGGTTCATAACAGTAGCAAAATTACAGTTATGAAGTAGCAATGAAAATAATGTTATGGTTGGAGGTTACCACAACATGAGGAACTGTATTAAAGGGTCGCAGCATTAGAAAGGTTGAGAACCACTGCTCTAAGGAGTCTGGCCTTATCCTGGAACTTGGTGGGGAAGTGATATCAGTGAGCTTTTAATCATGAAAGTGACAGTTCACTTACTGGCCACTTAGCAAAAGCCAGACCCTATGTGAGCAGTTTGCTGGTTTATCCCATTTAAGTGATCTGTGAGGTGGTTTCTAAATGTGTTCCTGTTATAGTTGTGGGGGGCGGGGGGGAAGCCCCAGGTCTCATGTCTGCCAGGGAGCTCCCAGCAGCTGCAGAGACCACTGTGTTTCTGTTGGAAGGTGGGTGGGCTCTAGCAGGGTGAGCAGGGTCTCCAGGACTCCAGCTGATTGGAAGTTGAGGGTGGGTGAGTCGACCAAAGACTGGTGTGGCATCCAGATTTCCGATTTGTTATTTAATTATGAAACGTTTCCATACACAAAACCAAAGGACATAACATAACCAACACCCACCTGAGACAGTTACCAAAATTTTGCTACATTTTCTTTATCTGTTCATCCCCCTTTTTCTTTAATGACACAGCCAAGACATTTCGTGTCACCCCTACATTTTCTTATTTTTTTTAGAAAGAGGAAGGGAGAGGGATAGAGAGAAGCATCAATGAGAGAGAATCATCAATTGGCTGCCTCCTGCACACCCCTTACTGGGGATCTAGCCCACAACCAAGGTACATGTCCCTGACCGGAATCGAACCCAGGGCCACACTCTGTCCACTGAGCCAAACCGGTTAGGGCGCCCATACATTTTTGAATGCATTTTCCTACAGAGCTATGGTGCCTTATCACAGCTAAGAATAACCAAGAATTCATCCAGTACCCAGGCTATAATTGGATTTCCCCAAAAACATCTTTTTACAATTGGTCTGTTTGAATCATCGGCAAACGGTGTCAGCACTTTGTCTCTTAAGTCTTGTTCTAGGGCAGTTCCTGTCCCCACAACTTGAACTCATTGCAGAAATGATGGGGTCAATTGAGTCGGTTCAGTTGTGTTTTGTATAAGTTTGAGGAATGTTCAATTGTCACTGTCTTACTGGTGTGTCTGAAGATCTATTGACACCTGGAGAGATCTAAGGATAGATATAGTGCCAGATCTTAAAAACTGATCATAGATGCCATTGACCATGTAGCAGGGATCTGGCATATTTTGGTAAAGCCTCAGTCCAAGCTGACTCCACCATGTGACTTTGAGCAGGTTACTTAACTCCCCTGGGAGCTTGCTTTCCCATGTGTAAGGGAGAGACACAGCCCCGTCACACAGGTATTTGTAAGGGTTCTGTGTGATGATGTGGGCATGGGCTTAGCTTTGTTCCTGGCATGTGGTCATCACAGGAGGAGGGTGGGTATTGCTCCAGGTCACATGGAGCAGCTGAGTCCCGAGGTTGGAGTTACTGCTAAAGAAGCACAGCCTTCCCCTGAGAGGTAGCTTCTAGCCTCATAAGTGCTGAGTCAGGGACATGACTCCCAGGGTGTGACAGGAAATTGGTGCGCAGATCCTCAGACACCAACTCCAAGCTCTGCGGAGCCTGAAATGCTAATTTTGAGGCCTTTTCCCTTTACATTGGGGCTCAGCTCTGCCTCTCCTGCCTGTTCTGTGCATTGTGCAGATACAAAGCAGACCCTAATAAAGGGTGTGGGTCTACAGAGTCCTGACCCCCCAGTTCTGGTCTAAATCAGATGTGTCAGGCTTGGAGCCTAGTGTCTGTTTCAGAAGCTCCCATAGCTGACCACATGTCAGCCCTGGAATATAAGCAGGACACATATGATGACCCCCATCCTATCTAATAAACAGGGAACATGCTAATTGACCCTCACGTCATCGCAAAGGATCGAATGATGGCGGCGCCCACAGCCAATAAGGAGGGAACAAGCTAATTGACTGCCCCGCCCTCAAAGATGGCAGCACCCAGCCCCCCAGCCTCCCAGGGCTGGCCCTAGGCACAGGCAAGCCTTGGATGGCAGCAGCCCGGCTGCCTGAGGCTCAGGTAACCAGGGCCGGCGGAGGCTTGCGATGTCAGCAGTGGCAGCAGCAGAGGTGTGATGGGGCATCACCTTCCCCTGATCGCCGGGTCGCCTCCCGCCCCTGAGGGCTCCTGGACTCTGAGAGGGGGCAGGCAGGGCTGAGGGACCCCCCACTCCAGTGCATGAATTTTCATGCACCAGGCCTCTAGTCATATAATAATAGAAATGGAAGTTTGAGAGGCTATTTGCCCAAAGCCACACGGCCAGTAAATCAGGAAACCAGAAGTAGAAAGAACCAGTGTTTTCCATTGCTCCAGCCTTTCCCAAAATGTGTTGGCAGAACACTTCTGAAGGAGGTTAATAAATGCTCCATTAAGGTCGAATTCTGTTTGTAATTTGGCTTGGGAAATACTGAACTTTAAAAAGTGCTTCTTTGGGAGAAGTTCTCAGAGCCTGTAAGGCTTCAGTGGGCAGGGGCTCTGATGGGGCTCGACCTGGCTTCCTGGCTTCTTTGACCCCAAACCACACAGATCCAGGGGGCTCCTCGGCAACCTGCCCCCCACGCCTTGCTAGCTCAAGGGTATTTTCTGAGAACACCTCTGCCCTTAGCTCCTTCCCCAGGCCCTAAGGAAGCAATGATGCCTTTCCCACCTGCCTATGATCCCTGACCAGCCCTGGGGTAGGGGATGTGGGCCAGGAAGTGCTCCAGGAGCCCAGGAACAAGCCTGATCCTGCAGCCCATCACAGTGCACATCAATAGCAAGTTACAGGGGTATCTTACCCCGTCTTCTGATGCTGTCAGGTGGAGCGAAGAGATTAAACCCTGAGAGGGTATGGCTACCTTAATTCCTTGGTTGATATTATAATAAACTAGAGGTCCAATGCATGAAATTCGTGCAAAAGTAGGCCTTCCTTCCCCTGGCTGCTGGCACCAGCTTCCCTCTGGCACCCGGGACCTGGGCTTCCCTCGCAGCCCCGGCTTCGTCTGAAAGGACGGAAGGACCTCCAGAAGGACGTCTGGTTTAATTAGCATATTATGCTTTTATTATTATAGGTTAGAGGTATTTAAAATACATTTGTGGGGTCCTAGCCACTCTGGCTCAGTGGATAGAGCGTCGACCCCTGGAATGAAGGGTCCCAGGTTCAATTCTGGTCAAGGGCACATGCCTGGGTTGCAGGCTCGATCCCCAGTAGGAGGCTTGCAGGAGGCAGCCCATCAATGATTTTCTTCATTGATGTTTCTATCTCTCTCTCCCTCCCCCTCTCTGAAATCAATAAAAATATATTAAAAAATAAAATACATCTGTGGGACCAGTACTAAGGTAAAGAACCCTCCTTCTTAGAGTCTGCCTTGTTACCCACATGACAGTTGGCTGTGCCAAGGGGAGGGCTGGGAAAGCGAGAGCCATGGCGAGCCCCAGAGGGCTGTGCACATAGTAACAAAACACCATGTGGATGACCCAGTGGAGAACTGGAGATCTTGGGTCCACCCAGTGTGAGGGCCTCCCCTGATGCAGGTCCCCCTTGACCACAGCTCAGCCTGCCTAGAGCACAGTTCTCTAATTCAACATCTTCCCATCTTAGACTGTGGAGATACTGGGGCAGAGAGAGGACAAAGGACCGCTTGTTACAAAGACTGGGGAGGGGGCCTTTTAGAAAGAGGCTTGGAGAAGGAATTGTGTGAGAAAGGAGCCCTCCCGTCTTCCTGGATTTTCTCATGAAAAGAAAGTGGGCTCAGCTCTGATTGGATTGAAAACTGATGCCTCAACCATGGGTGAGATGGGAATCAAATCCTCTCTCCCCACCTGCTACAAAAGTGTCCGCAGGAATCATAGCTATTTGGGGGACTGGAGCCTTGAGAGACCTTTGGGGTCCAGGTTGAAAATGCCAGTGTTCAAGGAACCCGGCGGGCGAGTTAATGACACCGGCTGGATGTGGGCCATGGGGAGTGATGGTGACCAGGGCGCACTTTGAGATTCTGCGTTCCACCGGAGGAGGCTACTTCTTGTCCATGGGAATCTGGTCCTGCTGTTGCTGTTCAGAGTTTTCAAGAAAAGCCAGACATTGTGTGAAATCCCGCAATTAAAGAAATTATCGATTGATAATTTTCAGAGAGGAAGGGAGAGAAAGAGAAACACCAATTTGTTCACATATTTATGCATTCATCAGCCAGTTCTTGTATGTGTCCTGACCGGGGATTGAACCTACAACCTTGGTGTATAACCACCTCAGCTACCTGGCCAGGGCTGAAATCCCCCAATTTTTAAATGCCAGATCTAGTTCAAATCGTTTTATCTATTATGTAGGTCACAGAAAAGACATCTGAGGGCAGATACAGTTAGAAATTATAGACCTAGCCCTGGCCAGTTTGCCTCAGTGGATAGTGTCAGTGCTGGGACTAAAGGGTTGTGGGTTTTCCAGTCAAGGGCATATACCTCATTTGCAGGCTCAATCTGCACCCTGAGCAACCAGGCTCGCTCTCTCTCTCTCTCCCTCCCTCTCTCTCCCTTCCTCTCTGGAATAGCCTTCTGGAATGAATTAAGTTTGAAAAACGAGGTTCCACTGTATTTCCTTCCAAGCTTTTTAGATACTCTCTCTCTCTCTCTCTCACACACACACACACACACCCTCTCCTTGCTGTTATTTGCATCAGAGGCAATCTTCCGGTCTTTCTGAGCTTTGCTTCTCTGACGCTTTTACAGAAATATGTTCCTCATGCTGGTGGCTTCTAGCTTTCATCAGATAGGTTTTATTTATGTTTAAGTTGTATTGATTTTTAGACAGAGAGGAAGGGGAGGGAGAGAAACAAGATGCCAGAGCAAAACTTCCATCGGCTACCGCTGGGGATCGAATGCACAACCAGCACATATGCTCTGACAGGGAATCCAACCAGAGACCTTCCGGAGAATCAAGAAGTCCTTCGGAGTACAGGACGGCACCCGCCCGACAAACCAGGCGGGTCAGGGCTCGTCAGTGAGGTTTTAACGAGGAGGCGGGTGATCTTGGCCATGGGCGGCGCCTGTGCCCTCCCGCAGGAGACAGACTGCGGAGGTGGGGAGCGGCTGCTAGAGTTTTCTCCAGATTTTACCGAGCTGTCCCGAGAGGGACACACGTGGTAAATAGACAAAGGAGGTCAGCGCTGATTGGGCAGCTCTCCGGGGTCCCTGAGCCTCTGAGCCACTCCCGACAAACCGGACGAGAAAAAAAGGAAGCCCTAGTGGCGAGATGCTAATTTGTATGTCTCTTCCCAGGATGCCCAGCAGTGCTTCTGATTCTTGTTAAAGACAAATGTTTTAACACTCTCTATTGGTAAGTAGATGCTCTTGGGAGATTCTTAGAGAAAACATATAATGGATACTATGAATGTAATTATTTACTAAAACTAAAACTATCACTGTAAGGGAAAAGTGAACAAATTCTAGGGCTTTAAATAGCTCAAGCAGCGAAAGATAGTTTGCACTGGTCCGAATGTAGTGAGTTATCACAAATGCTTGTACACAGTCTGTTACAGATTGAAAGCCTCCTTCTATTTGCCTCCCTTCTCACTACTGCATTTGACTAGTCTCTTTTGCAAAGTAGCCCCTCTCCGCATGTGAAATACAACATTGTTGCATGTGAAATACAACATTGTTCCGTGTTTCTTTATCTTACTTAAAATGCTTTTATATCAACAAAACAAAAAGGGAGTCCACTGTATGGGAGAACATATTTGGCAATGATACATCTGATGAGGTGTTAATATCCAAAATATATAAGGAATTCATACAACTTAACAAAAGGAAGACAATCCAATTAAAAAATGGACAAAGGACCTAAATAGACACTTCTCCAAAGTGGACATACAGATAGCCAACAGACATGAAAAGAAACCCGAAACACCAATCAGAAAGAATGTATGCACCCCAATGTTCATAGCAGCACATTTTACAATAGCCAAGATTTTGAAACAGCCCAAGTGGCCATTAGTAGATGAGTGGATAAAAAAAATCGCGGTACATTTATACCATGGAATACTATGCAGCAGTAAAAAGAAGAATCTCTTACCCTTTGAGACAGCATGGAGAGACCTGGAGAGTATCAGCCTAAGTGAAATAAGACAGGTATCACATGATCTCACTTGTATGTGGAATCTAATTAACAAATATCCCCTCCCATCAACCCAGGCATTTGCCCTGACTGGGAATTAAACCCTCAACAACTTTTCCGTGTTCCCAATGACGCTCCAACTGAGCCACAGGGCCAGGATGAAAGACTAATATTTGATGATACAACACTTAGACAAAATTAAGAGAAATTTCAAAGTTGGCAATCCTGTTAAAATTTGAAGATAGAGAAGTGGACATTCCAAGAGTCTGAAACTAGAGGAGAAGGCGGAGAAGGGCAGAGTATATCTTGGGATGTCCAGATCAGGCCTCCAAGCCACTTTCTCCTCCTGGTTCTGCACTTAGCTTTCTGTGTAACCTTAAGAAAGCCATTCAGCTGCCTCCTCACTTGAAACTGAGGTCAGAACAATGATCCTCTTTCCTCGTTTGTTAGATGGAAGTGCAGTCCCCTAACAGCATCAGAACCGAGGAGGAGTGCTGTGGGACGGATGCCACAAATACGTATACATCTAATAAAGGAAACGATTTGGTTTGTCCTTACAGGTGCAGGCAATGCAAGGCACCTGAGATCATTGGATTTCCCTAGCACTTTCATGAGTATCATCCTATTTCATCTGGCAGCAACCTGACCCAGAGGTATGGCGGTATTAGGACCACCACCCAAGGCTTAGAGAGACCAAGGGCTCCCTGTGGGTGTTTTCAATCTAGATCTCGCCCCCTTTCCAGTACACCTCACTGTTTCCTCAGTAAAGGGCATACGCTGAGACGGCGAACCACCTTAGTTACAGTGGATTGTTTAAGCCAATTACTGTTGCTATAATCACACACCAGCAACAGCACTCCCCGAGGAAAGGCCATAAGTGGTACTGTGAGAGAATAACAGTCCAGTTGCACAGCCAGTGTTCTGTATTTGCCAAAGAAAGCCCTTATGTTTGTGTTGTATTTCATAAGGTGCAAAGTATTTTTGTATTATTCATTTAACTTAATATTTTTTACAACCTGATTAGGTTGGTATGGAAAACTCATTTTACAATGAAAAGACCGAGCTTCTGAGGGATCAAATGGGCAGCTCAAGGCCAGCCAGAGATCATTCCTTGCAAGGCCAGAATAATCTTCCTTCTTTAAGAGTTCTCTCTACTACTCCATAATGAAAAATCCACAATGAAAGAGTGGCAACAAATAAAACCAATTGCTGTGGTGTCCAAGGCAGTAGAAACATTGCCAAAAAAAGGAAGGAAAGAAGGAAGGAAAAAAAGGAAGCATAGATAATAAAATGTGGGGGGTGGGTGGGATAGGTGTTATTTTCTAAGACTTGTGTGACTAAGATAGGGTTGCCAGATAAAATACAAGATGCTTAGTCAGATTTGAATTTCAGATAAGTCATTTTTAGTATGAGTATATCCCAAATATTGCATGGTATGTCCTGCAACCATTGCATACACCATAATTTGAAGCCAAAAGAATCTTGGTTTGCAAAAGCCTGCATTTGAGAAGAGAATGGATTTTTCTTTTAACCCCAAATCTTTACGTTTTACTAGAAAAGCAAAGCTTGGTGGACCCATGTCGTAAGCCAATACCACGAGCCTCCAATTCCTGCTATTTCACGCCTGACATTGTGGATAGGAAGGTGCATGAGACATGGTTCATTTCCTAGATCACTTTAAACCTCTTTTCAGAGAGCTCTCCAGAGACAAGGGGACCTCCCTTTTCAGCGTGGTTCACGCAGGGTCATGAAAGCTCAATCCGCTGCTGTCCACTGGTCTTTGCTGACAGAAAGTCACGCACAATGCATTACCGTCAGGCAGGACTTAGAAAAAAAAATTTCTTTATGCCTTTATGCAGCAAAAGGCTAGTCAAGTGAAGCAGTGGGAGTGCAGAAGGAACAAAGAAATCTGTAACTGGCTGTGATCAATTAATTGTAGGCGCCACTGCACTCGGACCAGCCAAAGAGGTGGCTTACAGTGTGGCTTATATAAAGCTCTAAGAATTTATTCATTTTACAGTTACGGTGATTATTTATAGCAGGTTATTTTTCAATATATGAACCTACATATCATATATAAACCATATATTTTTCAATGAAAGCATTAAATATAGGAACTTCCTCAAGAAAAGAGCCTTTCCCTCTGTAGTGGAGGTAAAGGAGCACCAGGCAGCCCTCCTGGAGCATTGTGGGAGATTGGCATGCAAAACAATCCCCGGTCACATCCACTAGAATCAAAAAGGTGGGTCCCAGCGGTTCTCTGAGTGCGATGAAGCCACTCGATTAGCGGTAAATCTCAGAGCGGCAGGGCGTTTTCTTAGGAAGGGTGTAGGCAGAGTCACCCCTGGAGGAAGATGGGGGGCCCCCATCTAAACAGAAAGGGAGGCAAGTGAATTTTGCCCACGGAGGCTAAAATAAGAACTACATGATTAGCAGTAAGATTTAAAAGTGAGCCCATGGAAAGCAGGCGCCCAGCAATCGCAGGCAGAAGTGCCGCGACCAGGAACTTGCCTGGTTTTTCCCCGAAGAGCGGCCCCCAACACCAGAGAGGCGCCTCTCTTTCTTTTTCATTATTCTTCATTTTTAAATTTCTCTTTATTGGTGAAAGTATTACAGATGCCCCTCCCCCCACCCCTTCGCCGCGCCCCCGCCCGCCAGAGAGGCACCTTTCTGAGCGCTCGTGCCTTTCCTTTCCCTGTAGGTTAGCCCAGGGCGGGGCGGACGCTTTGGACCCGGAAAAGTGAGCAGTGACCGATCGGCACGCAGCGCGGCTTCCGGGCCTTTTTCTTTTCAGGGTCAGTAGCAGGTACCAACTACTTGACCCCCGCAGAGCTCTCTTGCGTAGGACAAAATTATTTTCAGTAATATTCATGTAATAATCCGTAATAATCACTGCTTCCTTCATTCGTCCTTTAGTTTTAAAACAATTAACAAGTTAAAAAGGAATAAATTTCTATTTGAAAATATTTTATATACATATATATTTTTTAAAATATATTTTATTGATTCTTCACAGAGAGGAAGGGAGAGAGACAGAGAGTTAGAAACATCCATGAGAGAGAAACATCGATCAGCTGTCTCCTGCACACACCCCACTGGGGATGTGCCTGCAACCAAGGTACATGCCCTTGACGGGAATCGAACCTGGGACCCTTCAGTCCGCCCGAGCTCTGTCGACCTGGGACCCTTCAGTCCGCCCGAGCTCTGTCCACTGATCCAAACCGGTTAGGGCTATGGTGTTTTTTTTTAATTGATTCTAGAGAGAGGAAGGGGGAGAGAGAGAAACATCGATTGTCTCCCACACTGCCCAGACAGGAATCCAAACCGCCACTTGGGTGTGTGCCCTGACGGGGAATCAAACCCACCACCCCTTTGTGTACAGGAGGGTGCTCCAACCATTGAACCACACCCCCAGGGACTATGGTGTTGTTTTTGTTTTGTTTTCTTAATAGACTTTATTTTTAGGACAGTTTTAAGTTCAAGGAAAAATTGTAAGAGCAGAATATGGAGATTTCCAAGGTACCTACCCCCTACAGCCTTGCTCACTATCAGCATCCTGAACTGGAGAGGTACATTTGTTATAATCCACAAATTAAACATCACTTATCTCCCAAAGTCCCTAGTTTATGCTGGCGTTTGCTATTGGTGCTCATTCTATGGGTTTGGACAAAAGTATGATGACATGTGTCCACTATTCAAGTTTCATATACTAGTAGAGTGGTTTCACTGGCCTAAAAATCTTCTTTGCTCTACCTGTTCACCCCGCCCTCCCACCTAACTCATAGCAACCACTTATCCTTTCTATCTCCATAATATTGCCTTTTCCAATATATGACTACTGTCATAGACTGTAGTTGGAATCACACAGAATATAGACTTTCATGTTGGCCTTTTCCACTTAGTAATATATCTTTAAGTTTCTTCCATGTCTTTTCATGGCTTAATAGCTCATTTCTTTTTAGCACTGAGCGAGTAATATTCCACTGTCTGAATGGACCACAGTGTATCCATTTACCTACTGAGGAACATTTTCCAAGTTTGGGTAATTATGAATAAAGCTGCTGTAAGTAGCCATATGCAGGTTTCTGTGTGGACATAGTTTTTCACTCCTTTGGGTACACACCAAGGAGCACGGTGATGTTGGATCACAGGGTAAGAATGCTAGTATGTTCAGTTTGGTAAAAACCTGCCAAGCTGTCTTCCAAAGTAGCTGTACCATGTTGCATTCCCACCAGCAATGAATAAGGGTTCCTGTTGCTCCACATCCTCCTCAGCATTCGGTGTTGTCAGTGTTTTGGATTTAAAGGAAGGTGCTCTGAGCTCCTTCTGATTAGAGTGAGGTCAGGAGAGGAGCCTTATTAACACACATCTGGTCCCTCCAGCCCTGGGCCAGGGGCAACAGCGCTGTCTTCAGCACTGTCACTGAATTCTGTCCTTCTTTCCTCCCACCCCTTGAATCCCGTCCTTTACTGCCACCTTGTAGTTTGCAGAGGAGCCTTAACCCATTCATCAGGAGTAACCGGACTCTACCAAGGCCTGGAAAACTTTGTATATTAAAGTCAGTGAATTTTTTGAAATGTTTATTCACTCACTTGTTAATTTAGTCTAAAAACACTTTTTGAATACCTATGAAGTCTGGGTTTGGGTGCTAGGCACGGGGATGCATAGATGAAAGAACTTGGGAAACACTTGCTCTGTAGTTGGGGGTGGGTTGGGCAGAAAACAGGGTGGATGATGAGAATATGAGGCATTAGGTAGCAGGATAAAGTCAGCCCAGAGACTCTGCCCGGATCGGGTAGGGTGTTTTTGCTAAAGACAGTGACTAGGATCTCAGAGATGGGGATCAGAGAGGTGGGCCCTAGAAGCATGCATCTCTACAAGGGATCAATTTCCATTCTGGCCCCTGGAAAGCAAGACATTTGATATCCAGATCAATGCAATTATTGGTCCTCAAGGGAGCACACAGAGAAGCAATGCAGGTCCCTGAGGTGGGCACACTGTTCTTGCTGTGCTGGTGTCTGGAACACTCATCCTACACACGCTCACACACACATGCACACACATATACACATGCACATGCTGGGGGAACAGAGGTCACAATCTAGGCAACTGAGGAAACACTATTCAGATATAAGAGGCAAAGGGGTTTGGGGAGCAATGGGCAGACAGCCTTAGGAACCCAGGTATTTGTTCTAATTCTTCATTTCCTTTAACCAGGTCTATCAGTTGAAATCATGATGAAATTTGGACTAGAGGTCATCTAAAGTGGTATTTATAGGATTCAGACTCTTTCCACTGTAGAAAAATGAAAAAGAAACATAAATGTATTATTTCCTCCATAATTAGGGGCTTTTGAGAGTGATATCACCCTTGTTATTGTCTTTGCTTTGCTCTGATGGATGGCCAGCCTCCTTCTTCAGGGAAGAAAGATGATGCTGGCTTTGTTATTATTTTTATTATCATTACTATTTTAAACTGAAGCAAATATAATAGAACAGGGTTGAGGAAAGACTTGTGGATTTTTCCCTTGCGGCCCCACACTTTAGCTCTCAACCCTGAATTCCTCTAAACAAAGTGGTTAGGCCTGAGATGCTGGGAGATGCTCACAGAGACGGACAGCTGACAAGTACTGGCAGCTCGACATCAGGTAACCGTGACCACAAGGGGACCCTTGACCCGCAAAAGAGACAGCCAGCGAGATGACACCTGGTCCTCGGAAAACTGCTCCTCCCTTCTGAGCAGAGAGTCGCCCTGGACAGCCCGCCCCCGACAGCCCGCCCCTTCCCCAGGTTATCACCTCACGGCTTCACCCGTGACAGTGACCCTGTCCGGGCCCCAGCTCAGGGGCCAGTACTGAGGGGAGGTATGCTCCAGTCCCCGACGCCACAGGAAACTGGCATTTAGGCTGAGTGCAGATGAAAGGATACGCTCTATCTGCAAAAGCCCATTTCTGGGAACACAAATAAACAAAATGGAAAGATCATGTAGTTGCTATTAAACGTGGACAAAGAATGGTTTTGTTCTTAGTTGTTATAAGTGCATTCCTTGAAGAACGTTTCCTCCCAAAGTAAATATTTTGCTTTGTATTTTAATTGAATACAAAATCAAATGGTAAAAGCCAGTCAAGTTTAGCAGTGGGGGGGTTAGTGATACTAACTTGCTAACTTAAGCCAAGTTACTAACTTAAGGTAAGTTAGAAGTTAGCGGTACTAACATTTAAACAGTTCTTATAACCCACTGCCATCGGACCAGCCAAGGAGTGTGCTTTCACTTTCAATATATAAATCTCTTAAGTAGCTACTCTAAATAACTTAGGATGAGTTGTTTTAATAATTTTCAAAAATGATTTAATGTTATATGGACCCTACAATATAATGCTACAGAAAGCAATACATGTCCGATGATTTTCCTTGGATTTTAAAAAGGTTAACACAAGCTGATACTCAAAATGAATGTAGTTGCATGATGGGAAAATAGAAGCAGATTACCAAATGGAAGCATCTCATCACCCACCAATGAGGTGAGTCACTCAGGGAGGATCACAGAAAAAAAATGAACGTGCTTGGGTCAAAGGTTTAGCAATAAAAATATGAGATATTTCATGTCAACAAAATGAGCTTTGGTTTCTCTTTTTTAATCGTCTCCCTATGATTTGTAAAATGCCTTCCTGATTCAAAGCAGCAGGTGGCAGTAATTCACAGAAGATTCGCTTTCCATCCACTTTGTACTTAGAGCTATGGCTAGAGAGCTTCTCAGCCAAGTATACATCTAGTGTTCATTCATACTTGTTATTTTCTAGGCTTTTTCCTCCAGTAATTCCTAATAGTTATAATCAGTCAAAGAGTTATGTCAAATTTAATGCAGTCATGTCCTTCACCTTTGTAGAGGTTGTCACAAAGTGCTGCTTTGTAGAGGTTGTCACAAAGTGCTGAAAATAGTCTCTCACCAATGGCTTTGTTACTGGCGGTAAAGCCCACTCCAGGCTTAGCCGTAAGCACCCTCACCAAGTTCCAGGCAAGAAACCTCACATTAACCAGAAGAAAAGGAATGAGAAGGATTAGAACATGATCAATAAATAATTATGACCTTCGCCTGTCAAATCGTTATTTTCCCGTTTTAAAACCTTTGTATTTTAAAATAGTAAACGTTAAAGTGAATTGAAGTTTTCAAGGACAGAAGGACGTGTATATTCGATTCATTTATTTAAAGAAAATGTTGTGTAAATAACCATTAAAGTGAGACTTGGATTTCGCAAAACCCACGGGGTGAGTTTCAAATGGCCGAGCCGAGAAGCTCTGTGACTTCAAATAGGACGTCCCAGGTGCAGGGACCAAGGTCCTGCCCTGCACCAGGAGAGAGCGCTGTGAGCCGGGGAAGGAGGGCGGAGGAGGTGGAGGGCGGGCGTCCTCACTGACCGGCTTGACAGTTGGGTTTGGTCTTCCTGGAAAACAGCCCTTCTTTAGGAAGACGTCCATTGGGTCCCAGGGGTCCGAGGGGTCCGAGGGGTGAAAATGTCTCACCTGCTAACCTGTGCTGTTCTTCAGAACATGCTGGAAACCACCCATCCCCTAATTTCTCTGGGCTCTGTCTCCCAGTCTCTCTCTGCAGGCTGTCCCCACTCTTGCCCATGACCTGTGCATTCCAGACCCAAGCATGGTTAGGGCTCCCCGGCGTTTTCTCCCCGCCCTGATGATGGCATACGCCTAATGGCAGGGCAGGGAAGGAGACAATCATATGGGAATAACAGTAAAGGAAACTGAAATTTATAGGTGTAACATATTGGGCAACTGCCTGTTTTTATCTAGACCAGTGGTTCTCAACCTTGGCTGCACATTAGAATCACCTGGGAATCTTTTTAGAATCCTGATTTCTGGGCCTCATCCTCCAGAAATCCTGTTTCTTTGTTACTAATGTTGTGACCTCACCCCATAACAGAGAAAGAGAATTTCCGGAGGAGGAGGCCCAGAAATCAGGATTCTAAAAAGATTCCCAGATGATTCTAATGTGCAGCCAAGGTTGAGAACCACTGGTTTAGAGTTTAAACTTTGACGCTTCTCTCTCAATGGGATCCACCTGGAACATTCCTCGCAGCTGTGGTGCCGGGGCCCAGGCAGGCAGGGACGTGAGGAGCCCAGAGCCACGAGCCACAGGGAACAAGCGGCCTCTGTGTCCTGGGAAGGTGCTCAGCTCTGCAGAATCTTCCGGCGGCAGGTGAGGCAGCCACCCAGCCCCCGCCTGGAGCAGAGCACTGTCTGTGTTCTGGTTTGCAGGGTTGACCCTGGCGGGAGCTTTTCTGCGTTTTAAAATCGGATTTCCTTCTCCTCTGGACTGGTTGCTTTGTTTCTGCCTGTTCCATGAACGCACCCCTCTGTGGCTGTGGGGCGGGGTGGGCAGGGGTGGGCTGGGGTGGGAAGGGCGCTGGGCTGGCTTTGGGTCCCTGTGGGTCACCAATCGCCCAGTCCTCGCCGTGTGCCAG